TTCTAAATTTTATACTGTGTCTACTACATACTTTCCAAATGATGTCCCAATGTTCCAATTAAGTGACTTCAATCAATTGGGGGTGGGGGACAGAGGAGATGGCACATGATTCCTGAAGAGAGAACCAAACCTCTTCAGTTGACAGGCACTATGCACTGATTTCAATAAAGAGAAGTGTTAACCAGAGGAATGCACTTCTGACACTGAGGAACCAGACCTAAGGTAAAAAAATCCTTTAGCCAAGGGAGCTCTACTTCTGGGACATAGTTATTCATGCGGACTCAGGCTATGTTTGACTATATTCCCTATTTTGGTGTTGGAGTATCCAAGGTAACAAGGATGGGAGCCTTTCAAGAATCTTCTCTACCAATTTCTGATAGATGTTCATTGAACTGCTGGAATACTTCTAGTAAGCGAGATTTCACAGCTTTTGAAGGTAGCCTATTCCACTTTTAGGCAACCTGAAATGTCAGAAATTTATTATGCCTGACCAAAATCTATCTCCTTGTAACTTCTATCCATTAATTTTAGTTCTGCCTTCTAGAGACAATACATTTAATCATTATATGTCTCATTTTTTTTCATCTGTAAAATGGAGAAAATGATTCCTGATCTACCTTACTTTTTTTGATAATTTGTTTTTAGGGGGCATCTAGGTGGACACTTACTAGCTGTGTGACCCTGGGCAAGTCACAACCTCCATCGCCTCACCAAAAAGCAAAAAATAAAAAAATAAAAATAATTTATTTTTAGTTTTCAACATTCACTTCCATAAGCTTTTGAGTTTTAAATTTTCTCCTCCTGCCTCTTTCCTCCCTCCTCAAGGTGGTGTGCAATCTGATATAGTTTCTACCTATACATTTCCTATTTTCACATTGGTCATGTTGTAAAGAAGAATTAGAACCAATGGGAAGAACCACAAGAAAGAAGAGACAAAATAAAACAGAAGAGAAAAAAAGAGCAAACAGTGTGCTGGGATCTGCATTTCAACTCCTCAGTTCTTTCTCTGGGTATAGATAGCATTTTCCAACATGAAACTTTTGGAGATGTCTTAGATCCTTGCATTGCTGAGAAGGGCTAATTAAGTCTATCAGAGTTAGTCACTGTACAATGTTGCGATGTGCTGTGTAGAACATTCTCCTGATTCTGTTTACTTCACTCAGCATCAGTCCATACAAGTCTTTCCGGGTTTTTCTGAAGTCTGCTTGCTTATCATTTCTCATAGCACAATAGTATTCCATTACATTCATATACCACAACTTGTTCAGCCATTCCCCAATTGATGGGCATGCCCTCAATTTCCAATTCTTTGCCACCACAGAAAGAGCTGCTATAAACATTTTTGTACATATGGGTCTTTTCCCCATTTTTATGATCTCTTTGGGATACAGCCCTAAAAGTGCTATTGCTGGGTCAAAGGGTACACACATCTTTGTAATCCTTTGGGCATAGTTCCAAATTGCTCTCCAAAATGGTTGGATCAGTTCACAACTCCACCAACAATGCATTTTAATGTTCCAATTTTCCCACATCTTCTCTAACGTTTATCATTGTCCTGTTTTGTCATGTTAGCCCATCTGATAGGTGTGATATGGTACCTCATAATTGTTTTGATTTGCATTTCTTTAATCAATAGTGTTTTAGCTGCTCTACCTTACTTAAAGTACATTTATGAGATTCATATGAGATAGTACATTTGAGAGACTATGATAAGTTTGCAGTACTTAAAAGCATATATAAAGAATTCTTTTTAATGTATACAGCTTCTATACTTCATGGAATGTTTACCATTCTGACCTCTCCTTTTTGGAATTCTTACCTACTTTCAAGGGCTACCTTAGGTACCACCTGGTACATGAGACCTTTCCTGATCTCTAAGTTATTACGTATCTCTTCTCCTCAAAAAGTATCTTCTGTTTACTTCAAATATTGTTAACACTCCACCCAAAGGCAGCTTGGGGCAGTTCCCTGAAGAACAACCCGGGATACTGCATGTTGCAATATGGAGAAGGAGATAAGAGTAGGATTGGGTGAAAGATCTTGGTCCTATGACATTTTGTATTTGTAGAGAGAGAAGAAGCAAAATATAAAACTCAAACTTTTGAATGACAGATGGGAAATCTTCAAAATGTAGGGGAGCCAATCCTTCCCACAATGTTCTTTGATTCTCAGCACCCTCAGAGACACCTAAGAATGAACTTTTCTGGTGAGATCATTCTCTCCTTGGTTGGGCTAAGGCTTCTTATATAACTCTCAAGAACAAGAATTTACTCTTGTGTATTATATTGTCCACTCTAATATGTATAATTTCTTTGATTTCTGTTAACTATTTGCTTGGATCTCACTTTGTGAGACTGGTTTTTCTGTCCCAAGCATTTGGTGGGACAGAGTTAAGCTAATGGGAATAAACTAATGATTACCCTTCTCATTACCCCAACCAAGGAAAGTGAACTTTATTCCAGATCCCTAAAAGACAGCATCATACTCTTTGATTACAAATATTTGAGGTGTAAGTAGATAGATAAAATGTTAGTCTAATGCTCCTATTAGAAATAGAAGAGTGAAGGAATGAGCATTCCACCACGGACATCCTCTTACTCCTCAAAAAAGTAAAAAAAAAAAAATTCCACTCTCCCTTGTAAATAGGATGGGCCAGATGTCAGATTATGTCTAACCAAGCCATACACAAATAAACTATTCTATGTTAGATGGTTAGTGTATTGAAATTCTATCTTGCTTTGATTCCTCTTCCTCTCTGTCTCCTACCCCACCAGTCAGTAGAGTTTGTTATTGTTCAGTTGTTTCAGTTGTGTCTGACTCTTCATGGCCCCATTTGGAGTATTCTTGACAAAGAGTGGTTTGCCATTTCCTTCTCCAGCTCATTTTACAGATGAGGAACTGAGGCAAGCAGGGTTAAGTGACTTTCCCAGGGTCCCATGACTAGCAAGTGTCTGAGGCTGGATTTGATTTCGAGTCTTCAAGAGTTGGACATGACTAAAATGACTGAACAACAAAATGCAAGTATTATTACTTCCCCCCTCTCCAATTTACAGATGGGAAAATGAAATTTAGAGAGGTTAGTGGAGTCAAATCCACTTCTCCTGGCACCAAGACTAGTTCTTCTATCCCTCACTGTGAGAGCAAAGACAGAGAGTGGACACCATACCGCCATAGAAGAAGCTATCACTGCTTCAGTGTGGGCCATTATTTCAGGGATTTCAGTTTTTCCTTTTTTTAAATGGGAAGGAGACCACTTGCTAGGACTAGACCAATAGTGCATTTGGGTTTTTGCTTTCAGTATCACTTAAACACTCCATCTGCTTTTGGCTTTGTGGGCAATGGGGAGGTAATGGACTTTGTTCTTAAATGATAACTTTTGTCCCCAAAGCTCAGAGCCTAGTTCTTGATCTGGTAATTTCTTCCTTCAGAGTCCTTCATAACAAGTTATTCTTCCCTATTGCCCCTGGAGGCCAGTGCTGATTCCTCTTCTCCAAGGAGAAAGAACCCTTTAGTGAAACTCTGGTCAGTACTGTATATAGCTCATCAAAAATCCCTGCTGTCTGGTACCTTACTTTTCTGCTCTTTGCAAGTGTTTTCTTTCTCTCTGTTAAAACTTTGATCTCTATTTGGCTTTTGATTATATTTTGAACTTGACTGGGGTTTCAATTATTTTTTCTCTAGGACCTCTAAATGGTTTTTTTTCCCCTTCACTCATTTGCGTGTTGAGATGAATATATCTTGACTCTCAGGCTAATTGTTTGGTATGTCAGTGGAAGAGAAAAACATATATATTTTCCCTATCTTCTCACCAAATTATCTAAGTAATTAAAATCTGGTTGTATTTCTTTTATTGTGTGTTCTACCTACAATCATAAAGTCTTAGAACTGAAAGAGAGGCCTTAAAAGCCTCTAGTTCAATATTTTCTCAATACACATATCTTTCACAACATCTCTGACAAGTGGTCATCCAGTGATTGTTGAAAGCATTCAGTAGTAGAGAGCTCATCACTTTGTGAAGCAGCCCTTGGTTCAAGACCCCTCTCTTATATACATTGACTGTGTTACTTTGGGCAAGTTGTTTGATCTTTCAATGCTCCAGGCAACTTTTTTAAGACTATAAGTTGCAGAGAAGGTGCTGAATTGAGTTAGTAGGAATTTTCTTACTTGAAAATTCCTTAAAACAATGAAGATTGTTAACAGCAAAGGCAGGTCTAGTCCTTAACTAGGGATATACATATGCATGCATAAATATACACATGCATACATACATATATATATATATATATACATATATATATATATATAATACACATGCACGTGTATGTATGTATGTGTATATGAATATGTGCGTGTGCTTATCTCTTAATATGATGGGTATAAACAGGAATCCTCTTCTGACTCTGTAGTGTAGTATATGCCATGAAACATACCTAGAGCTCACACATACCTGTGTCAACTATTCCTGACACAGTGACATATTTGTCTTGGTCCTTTCTGGTGGACCACATGTACTTGCTGAATGCTGTAAGACGTAGTATTTGGTCTTGAAGCAGAAAGCCCTGGGTAGTTTATTGATACCTTGGCAATCTTCTCCAGGAAAGGTAGAGATGCACTCCTGTTGCCAATAAACTCTGATAGAAGAACCCAGGTGATCCTGATCTTTTGGACTTACAAGATTGCCTCCAAAGCTAGAAAAGCCCATTTCAGTATTGCCAAACAGTAAAGTATGCTCAGGAAAGAATCACAAAGAAGAGCAAACAGAGCCTTGAGATCCAGTCTCAAATTCACCTAATCCAGCACATATACTGGCTGCCACAGGTAAGCACTTCCATTTCTACTGGGGTGAGGAAGAGTGTTGCCTGCTCTTCTATTCCTAATAGAATATCTAGGGTGACAGAGTTGTATGCCACACTTGTTCAGGAGATAAGAAGAGTAACCCAAAGGGTGGAGTGACTTCCTTTTATAGTCTACTGAGCAGGCAGCTCTTTTCAGGCCAATGGCCTCTTTGAAGCAGCCACCTTTCCTTTTGCCAACATGAGGACCAAGGGACTAAGAACCATCCAAGGTTTGCAATATCATCCCAACTCACTAAGTCTTTTAGCACCAAGCCAGTACATGTAGTTCACCTGAAAGGACCAGGACAAGTGTCTTACCAGGAGGGCCTCAGTTCTAGACCTGCTCCTTTGTGTAAACTGTAACTATAGATTATCAGAGAGAGAGATCCCCTGATCATACCTATTAATTAGCTTTATTTATCTACTTAATAGTTGCTTTCCCCCCAATTTTATTTCTTCCTTGATTTTACAGAATTTGAATTTTTGTATTTTTATAAATTATTAATTTATCATTCTAGTCTTTTTTTTACTTCTATAGTTAATGAATTGATATCTTTCTTTCGTCAATACATATAGAGATGTAAATTTATCATTAAGGACCACCACATTTTGGTCAACATCTCATTGCTGTTACTTTCTTTGCTATAATTATTTATCATCTATAATTTTTTCTTTTAATTTAATTGTTTAGGATTGCATTGTTTAGTATTATTTTATAATTACATCCTTTCTTCAAATTTTTTTATTGATGAAAAAATTTATTTTATTATGTTCTATAAAGGTGATGTTTAATGTATCTTCCTTTCTGCATGTTTATGTGTACTTTATGCCTAAAACATGGATAATTTTTGTAACTGTGCTAATGTCCCCACAAAAGTGAAAAATATATGTGTGGAAATATATCCTTATAATGATATAGATATTTCTTGTGACTCAAATTCAACATTTGTCAAAAGTCCATCATATTTATTTCCTTTAATATCATTATTGGATCCTTGGTTTCTTTCTTGCTTGAAATGGGAATATTTTTGAGTAGTCTGTCTAGTTTTCTCTGTGTTCAGAAAGCTTTTCCTGTAAGCAGTTAGACTCTGTCAGTTGGTAGATATATATTTAATATTGATATTGCTTTTTTGTATCCATAATGCCTTAAAGTATAATTTACTCTCCCTATTTGTCTTTTTTTTTACTGGTGACTTTTTTCCTCTCTATTTAAAAAAAAAAATTAGCTGATGGACAATAGGTTCTTCTTCACTTAAGTCTGAATGATTCTGTATTTTCAGTGTTTTTCCTGAAAATACAAATTTTTGGGTTTTGTTTTCTGATATATCCTCCCTCTATTTTATGAGCAATTTAATCTTCTTCCTATTCACAGTTTTAATAGTAAGGTTTGTTTTCTTCCTGTCACATGCTATTATTATCTTTCTTGGCTCTACTTTTCTCTCTTTAAGATGAAAAAGCAAAAAGGAAGAAAAAAATTTGCACTAATTATCTATAGTTGAACTGTCTAGTCACGATTCTTTCCCCTTCTCCTCTTGTCAAACTTAGACTCAGATCCTTGGGCTTTATCCTTTTTCTCTTTTTGCCCTTTCATAAACAATCTTCCCTAATCTGTTTATTTTGCTCTTGACTGTTCTTTTTCTGAGCGTTCCATTTCTCTTGTTCCTCCTCCCTCTCCCTTTCCCAGCTTACTTCCTTCTTTCTTTATCATATTTGCATGCTACATTTTTCTTTCAACCCTCGATCTTCCCTTAGGGGAAAGTATGACTCAGATTACTGTGAAGTTCATAGAATTCTCTATTACCTCACTTCAATGTTAATAACATCTTTTCTTGTGGTACCCTAATTATGAAAAAAAATTAACTTCCTACCTCTTCTTCCCTATTCATTTCCAGAGATCATAGTATCAGAGATTTATATTTGGAAAGGTGTTTAAATATGATTTAGTCTGGCCCCCTCATTTTACAGATAGTAAATTGCTTTTTAAAAATTCACAGACCCTATTTTTTTTTATTTGGATTTCACAAGTGGACCTAGCTATTCTGGAAGCGTGGCGTTCTTATTTCCACCTCTATTCCTTTGCCAAGCTTGCTTTTCTTACCTGGAATAACAAGGCTAATAACTCAAATTTGTATATTTTGAGTTTGATAAAATACTTTCCCATAACACTCCTATGAGGTAGGCAATGGAAGGCCTCCCTTCTTCTTCTTTGCCTACTCACCTTTTAAGGTTTGCTGTCATGAAGTCTGACCACACTAGCCAACTGTAATCTTCCTTTGAATATCTTGTGCATAAATTCTCTATACCATATATTAGGTACTTAATCATATTCTATTTCCTCATATTATTACTTAACCATTCTATGAATGTTTGGCTTTCCCCTAAATAGATTGTAACCCTCTTGAGAGCAGGGATTGTTTTTATAATTCTTTTCTATCCCCCATGGCATAAACTAAAAATATCCAAGGGGATAGCTGCCAAAAAGACAGATTCATGTTGAATTGAATTGCATGACTTCATACCAAAGGCTATGTCCACAGAATGCCAAGGACACTAGTCAATTCAGTGATGGACTGAATCTTTAATTTATTTTTTGAATTTGAATTTGGTGCTGAGCTGTCCATTAGCACCTTTGACTGAGTCTGCAAGCATCTTGCACATCACACGCCTTTTGTGTTTCCTTTCTGATAACCTCTTTGCACAGAATGTAGACAATGTAAAGTTCCTCTTTGCTTTGTCATACTTCAGGGTGAAAACCATGGTGGGGTGAGCCATACCACTAGATAGAGTATAAGCTCCTTTGTATCTCCAAAGTATAAAAAGGGTGGAATTGAAAAGACGTCTGTCTTACCTGTCACTCTAAAGATGCTTGTAACCTCTTCTCTGGCTTGAGCTTTGGCCCTGATGCGAATGAAGTAGGCTCCTGCCTATTCTTCCTATGGACTACACAGTGCCCCTCTAAAATAACATTTGGTTGGGGACTTCTTTTTGTGCCTCTCCATGTTTTGTCTTTCCTTGTTGACTCCAACCAAACCCAAGCTTAAGACCTGTTGTTTGGCCTATGGTTCAAAATTTGTATTTATTTAAATGCTCTGTTGTGCTTGTAATTTCCCCTTTTCCCTTCCATACAGGGGTTATGTAGAAATTTAGCTGTCAATATCTTCTCCTACTGCCCTAGGAGAAAAACATTTTATAAAACTCAAGTTGATGGCAAATTTGTTGTGAAAAGAAAAGAAACTGAGGCAATGTGGTCTATAGGAGAGAGAGCAATGGACTTGGAATCAGTTGGCCTGACTTTTAGAAGCAGTTATACTATTAACTAGCTTGTGTGGTCTTGAACAATTCACTTAAATGCCTTATGCCTTCCTTTCTCCATCTGTAAAATGGGAAAAAATAACATCTGCTTTGCATTTTTGTGGGCTTTTGTAGGGATCAAACTGCCAGATGTTTTTTTAAATAGAACAATCTTAATCTGACAAAAACACTCTCAAGATGGGTGCCTCTTGTAGAGTACTGAACATATAAACATCAAAAACTGTGTGCACGGTAGATGTGTACAGGCTCCATACCGTCATCTAAAAGTTGTCTTTTCGATCAGGACAAGTAAGTAGATATGCCATTTTATCTCAGCAGTCAAGTGCAGGGAAAACAAAACCAAAAGCCTAACTGTGGCTCCAGTTTGTTGGCTCGTGATTAATCAGCAGCCTACTATATATTCTAAGTCTGTTAACAGCTTCGTCACCTAAGATGAAAGAAGCAGCCACTTCCCAAAAGTAGCCTTGGGAACTGTCTAATCCTGGACTTATTTCCTGGGACCATGACTAAAATTTTCAGTGATCCCTGTTGATAGTTGATAATACTTTTAATGACAATTTTATATGTGATTTTGCAATGGTGATTTAATGAGAAGACTAAATTAGAAGACTAACCAGATAATTAAATTTAGATTAACTAAATAACTAGAAGACTAAATAAAAGGAACTCAAACCCTGAGCAACTGAAAGAAGACAATAATGGTTCTATAAAACAGATAATAAAGCATTCCTTCCTCCATTTGACTAACAGGTGAAAGATCTCAAGGTCAGAATGTTACATACATTGTCACACTTGGTCACAATATTTGATGTTTTTCTTTGTTATAAGAGAAGGTTCAATTAGGAAGAGAAGGGAAAGTAGGAAAGGATATTTCTAGAAATAATAATGATGCTCTCAGCCTATATACAAGGTCAGAAAACTAGTCAGAAAGAGATACAGTTGACTCTTTGTTGGCATTGGGTACAGGACTCTGTTGCATTGATCATATGTGGTTTGGGGTTGCAGTCCTAGGGGAGGAGGTGCAATAGTACACTTGTGTAGTCACAGGGAAGCCAGAACCCTAGTCAGAGTTCTAGGGTGGAAAAGGGTGTTTGTGATTACTCACAGACAAACACAGGCCAGGAGAGCAGTGACCACACCTCTCCTCAGGTCATACCACTTTGGAAGAACTGGAAACATACAGACTCCAGAACTATCTCTGAAAACAACAACACAAAAACCTGAAGTTTGGAACAGTGCTCCCTCTGCCTCAGGAACAGAGACCATTTTTATCATAAAGTGAAAATTCAAGAAATAATCTGGATAAATGAACAAACAATAACAACAAAAAGAACCTGACTATACAAAGTTACCACGGTGACAGGGAAGATCAAAACTAACTCAGAAGACAACAAAGTCAAATTAGGTAAATGCAGAAGCTCAAAGACAGATGTGAATTGTACCTAGGACCACCAAAAATTCCTGGAAGAAATCAAAAAGATTTTTTAAAAATCAAGTGAAAGAAGTAGAGAAAAAAATGAGAGCAATGACAATCATGAAAAAAGTTAACAGTTTGATAAAGGAGGCACAGAAAATAGTGAAGAAAATAATACTTTAAAAAACCAGAATGGCTCAAAAGGTAAAAGAGGAACAAATATCCACTGAAACAAAGAATTCCTCAAAACACAGAATTGGCTAAATGTAAAAAGAGGTATAAAACCTCACTGAAGAAAATAAATCCTTAAAAATTAGAATTGAGCAAGTAGATGCTAATGACTCCATCATGAGACATCAAGAAGCAATAAAACAAAATCAAAAGAATAAAAAAAAGCTAGAGAAAATGTGAAATATCTTGTTGGAAAAACAACTAACCTGCAAAATAAATCCAAGAGAGATAATTTAAGAATTGTTGGACTACCTGAAAGCCATGGTAAAAAAA